GAAGCCATTCACCAGTTATCCGATTGAAGAAATTATGTAGCAGCTTCAGAATGGAGCGATTATGGTAGGCCTCCTTGAGCTCGACGGTGATGACAGATGACGTCATATTCTGGAGACGGTGAAGGCAGCGAAGGTGGGCCTGATTCTGCTTATGGGGGACATCTAAGGAATATTCGCCGTAAACTCCCAATAACAGCGGCATCCTTTGCGACGAAAAGTTTGATGATGTGCGCCATGGGCAAAGTGACTCTTTTTTTGGCCCCCCCTGTATATTGTTGGAGAACACCTTCATTTGTCTCTTTGGGTCCGTCACTAATTTTTTGGCGGGAATATTGCATACTTTTACTGCTTTTTGACCTATCAGGCTAAAACTCTCCAAATCATAGTGTTACATTCATTTCCCTTCTACGAAGCGTCGCCTAGACAATCCACCTTTGTTTCAATCGCGCACCAGTCCCGCCCAGGTGTCTGCGAACTGTCCACAAAGTGTAGATGGCAGAAGTTTGTGTCTTTTCAAGAAGTAAATTTTTATGTATGGGCTTTTTTGCTAGCGATCACACACGACGCTATGCGCACAAGGCGCAAATATTTATGAACGAGTCCTTGAGATTTATGTTCACCTGCAGCTGCAGAAGGCCTGGAAGTAGAATACTCCTAAGTTTAGTGTTGAAGTGGCGTACTGATATGCTCAGACGTTCTGTTACATAACCGATTATCCGAACTGATTCAATCCATTCAATGCGTCAATTGTTCCAGGTCGAATAGTTGTTGTCTAGGAGATAATCGTCTGACTTGAGAATCCAGTGACTGGTGCCCATTGAAAACTTCAATGGACAAATAGTTATTCATTTGCTTGTTGGCCGTGGACGAAAATTTTAGCAGAAGCAATCGCCGAGAAGATCAACCATTGTGAGGCGCTATATGAAGTAACACGATAAGCTGTACAGAACCGATTGATTAATGTTAGTTGTAAATTTTCCCTTAAAAACGATGGGCAATGTCTTTTTTCAAGGTCTTGCCAGCCAGAACATGAAGTCGCGGAGAACATCTTTCCCTCCTCTCCAAAGGAGGTACTTATAGTAATTAACACACGATTTATATAACGGTAAATTTGCGACCGCATCGCAACTTACTTCTGTCTCAAATCTTGTGCCATGGCGGTTATGGCGCAGTCTTCTCGGGCTGGTGGTGGTAACGTTGGGAAGTTCAACACATATGGTAGATTAGTGACACCCTGCTAAATAAACACATCTAGATGTAACACAGAACGGATGCGTGGGTGTTTAAGCTGATTCTTTCGCTAGCCCGCGCCGCTAACCAATTTCACCTGCCACAAATCCCGCTCCCTCCCCGACGTTAAGCAACACCAGCCTTCTTGGCCACATCGGCTGGGCACCCCGGTATGCTGATGTTGGGGAGGGGATGGGGTCCCCAACGGTCGACGGTTTACTTCAAACTCGGTTGGTACGATAGGAGAGTACTGACGCAAGTGGTGCAGCTGGTCCAGTAGCTTCGCCAGAAGGACCGGTCTGCTCACCCTTGGCCTAAAGAAAGCCTAGGAGGGACGGACCCCGTCCTCTCTTTAAGGCTTAGTTCTAAGGTAAGCGCCAAATTGTGGCGGTTCTAAGGACCGCGTTGAAGTTGTCCGTCCACCGTCGGGGACACCATCCCCTCCCCAACATTCAGCATACGGTCCCAGCCGATGTGCCAAAAGGGCTGGTTTGCTTACGTCCCCTCCCCTCCCCCAATTCGCTCAACACGCAGTTGTGGCGATCAGGAGATTCATCGCGCGCGAGCGATTGAAGCGGCGATGCTCCCTCAGTTTTGTTGTGAAACGTACGATGGCTGGTCAACCCATCCTGGTCAATTCACTTATCCAGCGGTTTAGTGTATGTTGCAGGATATGAACGCATCGCTACAATTTTGGAACTAAGGCATATTTTGGTTCCGTATGGCCCCGCGCAGCAAGCAACAAACGCTACACAGCCCCAACTGCCCATCCTTTCCTAACTCGAGCATGTAGTAAGAAGATCAGGCTAACCTCCTCGATTTGTTCACGATGTATCGGGAGTGCAAAAGCCTCGTCGGCATAATCAAGAAACGTTGAACTGGTCTCTGGCGGGTGAAATATGGCTATTCGCCAACCGCCTCTAGCCAATGCTGTCAGTGTTGGACCGTAGTTACCGGCATCTGAACACTGTCTATATACGAGAGCTGCAAAGACCCTGCTGACCTTCAATGTGATTTGTGCAAATAGAAGAAGCCCAATTGAACAGGATTCCCCTGAATGCGAGACACACTTATGATGCTGGTCTTCTGGGCCTTTACCGTTGTCGATGGAACTGAATGAGTACTCCGTTCCACATAACTCAGCACCAGCATTCAAATTTCAGCCATAGCATAGTTTCGTTAAAGCTAAGCACCGTCACATTTGCACCATGGGTAACTCACGTCATTCAGTCCATAACCCACTGCCCTTTTGACTTTTCTTGCGATGCGCCCAGTTTATTGTCACCAATTCCAGCCTCGGAATGAAGGCTAGCAACAGAATCAAAAGTCCGTTCAACAGGACTACTTAGCGGTCCTACCCAAGTGTTTTATCCTTGAAATCCCACATCTTGCCCACCACTGTGCTCAAACATCGTCAAGGTGCTGTCAAGCTTATCGCTATGAAACTGGTCAATATTCACCAAAGATGCTCAAAGCCCACAGCTAATGGTAAGTGTAACTTACCAGAAACGAGAGCAATGAGGCCAGGCGCTCCGTTAATGGTTGAAGCATGCCAGACCATTCTTTGGCAGAGGGCCTCCTCGATTGAGCCCTCGGCGGACAGTGACATATGGGCGATTTCTCCATGCTGAACACTCGTTATTTGAACTACTTTTTGAAAATGCTATCAGACAAATCAGAGCGGAACTGATGTCATGTAGTTATTCAAGGTGCACAGCGTTGATCACTGATGGGTTCGGTCGCGAGACGGCTGGACGGCTGCCCAGGGAACCAGGACTGCAGTGTAATCTTCAAGATGAATCCACAGAGGGCAGCCATATTTTGGCTCTCAATGGAATAGTTCAACTACTGGTTGCTGAGCCACTCCGATTAGGGCACAAGTTTACCTTTCTTCTGATCTCTTTTTTCTATGGTCCGTGTCAGACTTTGCCCCGGAGGATGTCCGGGCACGGACGTTGCGCCAGCAGTCCGAACGAGGCGCCAGCGATTCGAACAATGTACCAGAGAGTCGACAGTGGGGGAGGGGGCACAGGCGTGGAATCCTTTCG